AAACGAATTTTTTTTGGCATTAACAAAAAAGGAAATTTTAAAAAAAAAAAAAAAAAAAAAAAAAAAACCCCCCCCCCAAAAAAACCCAAAAGGAAAAATAACATGACAACACTTGGGGAAAGGAGGGATAGGGAAGACATATATATCAAAATATGAGGGAACAAAAAATAGGGACGCAGTTTCGGAAAAATGGACACAGCAACAAGGGGCCTTGGGGAAACCCCGCTCAGACGAGTCACAGGGATATTACAAAGTTTTTCTTAGTCACGGGGTTGTCAGGAAATGGAAAGTCTGGGGCAGTAGTGGAGGCAGGATTCATATATAGCTTAAAGAGGAGGTACGAAAAAAGCTCTGAAATAGGGCGAGGCCTAGTAGCGACCAATAAAGGGTGGTCCCAGGGTTTGATACTCTGCACCCCAATTAGGAGAATATCAACAAAAGTAACGCTAAAAAAGTAACATCAAATCACCCTTTTAAGGGCTTACCGTTCTCTGGAATTTGATTGTCTGACTGTTTTTTGCCTTTAAAACTGGTTCAATGACCCTTTAAAGTAGTAAGGTCTACACCCCCCAACCTGTCAAAAAAACAACTTGATGTTAATATGTGGAAATTCTGATTTTTGGTCCCATGCACAATCAAAAATATTGTGCTTCAGCACTTAAAAGTACAAAACCCCGTAAGGGGTACAAGTGTTTGGGGGAGTGGGGGGTCAAAAGCTGATTCAAGGAAAAGGCGTAAGTTTTAATAAATTTACTAAAGGATTTAAAAAGAAAAAAAAAAAAAATGTTTAAAAACAAGATTGATGTAAATGATTTTCAAGTTGAAGAATGAGAACCTGTGCAACATTTGGAAAACAATCTATTGTGGAAATATTTTATCACTCATTGGCTTCTTACAGTCCAGACCGATGAATGAACAAAAAAAATTCCAGGATGGGGGACTGATTACCTCAAATTCCTCCTTATCTTCCAGTAGTCTTCTCTGTACAAAACTAAAGAAGCCACTGGTGGCTAAATGTTTCCTCAATAAGGATTCCTAAATGTTGCAAAGTGTCATTTGACAAACAAGAAAGAAGGAAGAAACTTTGGTCTTGTGTCCTGTAAGGAAACAAACTATGCAATACATCTTTTTACATAATGTTTAAATATGACAAAATGTTTCATAATAAATTTTTCAAAATTAACAAGTAAACTCACATGAATGTTTCAAATATTTCACAGATGACATTTAAAAATCATGGAACAGGTGGGGTCTGAGCCATTGGAAAAGCGAGTTTTAAACCTCACAGGCCAGTGTGTTAACCACTTGGCCAGCGAGTTTTAAACCCCCACAGGCCGTGTTAACCACTTGGCCAGCGAGTTTTAAACCTCACAGGCAAGTGTGTTAACCACTTGGCCAGCTGGCCTGCGAGTTTTAGGACTCGTCTGCCATGGGTTTGAACTCCACATATTCCATGATTTGTTTGCAATCATGTTATTATGATTTCATGGATCATGGTAACTGTGAAGGCTTACTCAGCCCTGTAACAACCTCAAAAAGTATTACCAAGGTTGGCTCCTCTCAGGAAAATTAATGAATAGAAAAGAAATAATTCACAAAAGATAAACACTATTATTTAGTAATGCAAAGATAAAACATTGAAAAAATGAATGTGTATCTTATTTGACAGAAAAATGAAAAATGAAATAAAAACATGGACATTTGAATTCAACGCTAATATATACAGTTTTTACTGGGGTGTTGGTGGAGGTTGACCCCATCTTGTAGAAATTGTAGCTTTAAATGATGATGTGGGGGAGGGGGGGGGGGGGTTACAGGTGTTGGGTGACAACCAACAACTAGTTCTTCACCGAGTCTATAGCCTTGAATAGTCAGTCCATAGACAGGAACGCAGGTTCTTTACCACTGCAAGATGGGGGCAGTGTCCTGTACAATTTATCAGGTAGGTAGATTATAAGGTGACGTCCCAAGACGTTTTCAGTCCGTCTCCTTCAACACTTCTCGTGGCTGGCAGGTGGACCGATCTGTCTTCCCAAACTGGAAGAGAGACAGGTTACCCCCACTGCTTAAGAAATCACTCTCCATGATAAATGTAAGATACTTAAAAAAGGTGGTGATTATCGAAAAGTCTCATGTGGAGCTTAAAACTGAAAGGCAAAGTTAATTATTGGTCAAAAGTGAAGCTTTCAACCAATATCCCCTAGAATAGGAGCAGAGGCTTTTACTTACAGTTGTTTCTGGGAGCTGAGAGTCAAGTGATTACTGTTTGGCCGGAGCCCCACACGTCACCTTTCGAGGTGGGGAGAAGGGAGGGGGGATAGCGGGAGCTAGACTGACCCTACCTTAACAAGCAGCGGCAATCAAAAATAAACGTTACCATATACTCGCTTGCTACTCCTATCTGTTGAACTTTTCCCTCATATTCCCCCCTTACCAAGACTTATAGTCAAGGAGTATAAGAAGAATAGGCGAGGAAAAAGTTCTAATACGAAGTCGCGTAAGACAACAAATCAGAGCTTATTTCTTGGGTAGCATTGAAAATTGGGTTGGTCAAATGTTTGTTAGTGGGATGAATTCTAAAGGACCTGCCTAGTATGGGCCAACAGGCCTGCTGCAGTGTTCCTCCTTTCTTATGTTCTTATGTTCTTATGTACTGACTGTCACGACTTAACCAGTCAGA